TTTCACGATGTTCTTTGCAGGTTGGTCGTACTGGAATTTGATTTGTTCATTTCTATTTGATTTGTTAAGTTTTCTAAGATTTGCTAATGCGTGAATAAATTATTGCAATAGGGGTCTCTTGTTTGCAAGACTTGGTTTCTTCTTATGGTGGAAGGTTAGCTATCGGTATTCATATTGAACTCACTTTGATGTAAATTTGGCATGAAATTGTGTTTTTAGTACTACATTGCCCCATGGAGTTGGGAATGGTTTTTAACGAGAAAAATGAAGTAGAAAACAAACTCATTGAAGTAGCCGAATGAAAATTATATTATTGGGTTTGCACATACTTTGTATATTGGTATCCATCTGTATTGAGATCAGGGCCAATCTTGTAGTGAAAATTCTGTTGTAATTCTAAATAGCATGTAAAATTTAACTTCATAAGCTATTGGTGTGGGTATGGTAGGGCTCTTTATCCAAATTTAGAAGTATATACTGATCTTTACCTGTTTGAGATATGTTTGCAAGTGAGGTCATTTTCCTTCCAAGATTCAAAACTGTTTGCTTTGTGTCTTGATTGGATCTCTCAAAAAAAGATAATTTAAGTTTATCAACCTGACCAAAAACCCATTTATAAGGTAATATTTCATTCTTTTATGACTAGAATTGACCCTATTATACTTGAGAGAGATTTCCAATACCACTCTTATGCGAGGATTAACATCTGAGATGTGGGAATAAAGGAGGTTCGATAGACATGACATGATAGGTTCTTTAACAAAATTACTAGAAAGATTCTAAATATCTTTAAAAAGTAGACTTTAAAAACCATATTCAACCTTACAAAACTAATTTGTAAGGTAAGGTTTATATGCTACCTAGTGATCATATCTTTAGTTGATATGAGATATCTAACAAATATTTTTTATTTGAGATCCGATCTTCTCTAAAATTTCTGATAGGTGGGGGTTCCTGGTTCTATGAGGTGGTAGGAATATAAATATAACCAAGATATCCATCAAGATGGATAACAGGTGGGGGTTCCTGGTTCCGTACGTGCTGTAGTCCCTGTAAGCAGATGTCTTATCAAAGGCACTGTTTTACTTGTGATATTACTGTGTTCTGAGTTTGTTGTGCAATGTATGGATGTGGATATTCCCTTAAACACTCTTGTCCCCAAGTTACAATAATAACTAGTTAAAAACAACTAAAGTGTCTTTTTAGTTTAGACAGATGAAATTATGCCATTTTGTCAATTCAATACCAAGTGTTTAGGAAGAACTGCTAGTTCAAGATCTGTCCTTTTAAAATTGGTTCACCAAGAGTTTTACTCAATATTATTCTGTCTGTAATTATTTGACTATGCTCCATCTGATCAAGCTTTTATTGGCTGGGCTTGCAAACTGAAAATAATTTTAAAAAAAGAATTTCTCATATCAATAAAACCATCTCCAGTTGTATCACACCAAGATGGTATATGCTTTTTACACTACAGCATAATATGAGACTCTTTACTTTCACCAAAGGCTTTGAAATTAACTGGCAGGAAAATGACATCATCAATTACTTGATGCCAACAAATTGGTATCAAATCATTTTTGTTGATCTCTTGTTGCCACAGTCCAAAAGAAAATATTTGTTGAGCTTTAAATTTCCGTATTGGTCTGTTGATGAGGAAGAATCGACTTTTTGGCAAATGAGGTAAAACTTTGGGCAAGAAAACAGTTTTTTGTTTCATCAAGGATCACTTTCCTTTCACATTTCATCTAATATACTGAGCAAAATCAAGTGAGAACAGTTTTCGTATGTGGTTTGTTTTTGGCAGGGGAGGGAAGATAGGAAAAGCCAGTATGGCAATTTATATTCAAACTAGAAATTATTGAAACTGTGACATATCTTTGAAAATAGACATGAACCAGCTTAAAAAGTGGATGGATGCTGATTTTGTGTAGTTAGTCACGGTCTTTTTTTATATTGCCCTGAGATTTTGAAAATTTACGGCCTATATTTTGTTTTGAGTGTGTTAGCAGTCAAGTTATCATAATTTTTACCAGCGAGTTATGTTCCTGCATCACAATCCTATAAAGGGATGTTTGGGCTGTCTTGGAATTTGGTAATAAATGAGAAATAGATTATGGCATTTCCCTTTACCAAGCTACTTAGTGACTGTACCCAACTCCCTGATCAATGCTAGTTGGAAATTCCTATTTAAGGAGCATATTTTTTCAAGACTATTTGTTTTGTTTTTACTTGCACATTATGGCTATCTAGTGATCTATCCATGTTTTCTTAAAAGAAGATATTTTTGAGTGGCTTGCTAAGATTTGTTCTCTGTTTACTTGTGTAATATTACCGTGCCTGTTTCTCCATGTCTTGTTCGATAATGAAAGGTCTCTTGCTTAAAAAAATAATTTTTTGAAGCGATAAATGTTAGGACATAAAGAGACTCAAATCTAGCACTTAAAATTATGCTTTAAATTGAAATTTGAATTTCAGTGTGCAATTATGGTTGTGGCATAATATGTATTACCTTCGTGCTGACTTTTCGGATTTCTTCCAACCCGTTTTTTGACGTTTCCAGCTGTTCTTAATGCTACAACGCTCTCCCGTTGAATCCAAAGGGCGACAGTAGAAGCGCAAGAGGTAGCAAGTTGAGGATGAACATTTGAATTTTCGATCAGTTTAAGAAAATAATACTTATGAAATGTCTTAGTATGATTAATTACCTACGGGCTAAGTGATTAGGTCTCAAATTAGGGTAAAGCTGAATAATTTTTTTCTTGCTACAGTAACATTCATAATATATATATATATATATGCAAGACAAGATTGGGAAACTAAATTTCGAAAGATAATAACAACACTTATTGTAATAAGATCCCTATGATTCTGCTGTAAATAGTGAATATTTTTTGGAAGCCCATATCTAAAATTTATTGTAAATCTATGAGACGTTAAGTCCAACAGCAAAAGGAAAATTTCTAATGTACTGCTGAACATGTAGAATAAAAGTAACCTATTGGTTTATCAATTTTTTTGAGAAATAATCTCATTGTCTCTACTTTCTCTTGATTGGGTTGAATAATTCTCTGTTTTCCTCCATATTTTCAGTAGATATGTGTGCTTGTCCTCCCTTAGTGGTCTCCTTTCTTCCCCACTCCTTGTCACGTTTTTGAGGGAGCCCATTCTCTGCTGGGTGGCTCTCCCTGATGTTAAACTTAACGGCCAACTATTGCCAGGATCAATTCATGTTGGACGATACTACTTATATATCAGGTTAAATTATCTGACATATACAGTGAAAAAGGAGAGAGGGAGGGAAAAAGAAAAGGAGAAAGACATAATATAGACTGAGTAACTATATGACCTGACACTGGATGGATATTTTATAGATATAATCTGTTAGGTTTCTAGATAGAGGAAACTAGGAAAACAAATGCAAACTCCCAAACTCACTGAATAGACCTTGTATTATTGATTCTAGGGAACAAGTACAACATTAAGGAATCCAAGGGACAATGTTTCCTTCACACAGGATGTCAATGATCCTGTCAACAATTCTACAAAGCATCCAAAAGTCCCCTGCGTACAAGGACAACTAACAATTATTTTTTAATATGTTCTCTAACAATACACATTGCATATCCTATAATAATCTAATTGGGGGTGTTGGTGATAATCTTGTTCTTTTTGCATAGGGCCTGCAACTTTGTCAAGAAATACTCCTCTTAAATGATCTTCTAGTGTTGGATTTACTTGTGATACCGATATCTTGAATTCTTGGATGAATTTTTCCTCACTCCCAATCCATGTTATTGCTGCAAAACTCACAAGTAAAACTCTCAGTGCATTCCCACCAGCTGTTGGTGCCAAGAAATTAAACCCATAATCCTCAAGAATGCCAATATCTTTATGGATATAAAGAATGTCAATGTTCCATAAACCATCATGTCGTGTATTATTACTAGGTGGCACATCAATAGCATAACAAAATTAACCCGAATTGTTGTTTCCCACTTCAAATTCTTGAATGTAATCTTCCACCCTTTCTTGTTGTTTAATTGTTGCTCATTTTTCAACAATGGCGCTTCATTGTCTATCCCCACACGTTTCAAAATTGGTGCTGCAATCTCTGCCCCCACAACTCCTACCGAGAGCTTTAGAAAGATCTTCCCAATAAGGACTCTTGATTTTTTGTTGCCAGATTTTTAACCCCTGGACTGCATTTTCTTCCCTTCTGATAAGGGTTGGATGTACTTTTGTTGATCCTTTGATTTTTTGAACTTTCAAACCGTTTGTTGTTCTTGCAATCTGACCTTGGGGGTCATTCCCTTCCAATGTGGGCAACTAACCCGTCCATACAAGGCCCCAAAATTTCCTATAACAAACACCCCTCCTTAAGAAACTGGCACTTGGCGGCTTGGAAAATTCGGTCTCCCCCAATGGTAGGAGTAGGTTCCCCCAAGATTCGAACCTGAAACATCGGATTCGTTGCAAGGCTCTGACACCATTGTTACGAAAAGGTTAACCCGTCCGTACAAGGTCCAGAATTTCCTATAACACATCACCCTTTTAAACCCAGGGCAAAATGGTTCTTTCTCACCATTATTAATTCCATTATTGTCCCTGGCATTCTCTTCTCTTTGCTTTTCCTGCTTGATTGAATTTTCTCCTCCGTCTGGAGGAAGATCTTTGATCTCTTCAATTTCCTACAATCCATGTTTCACAATACCCAAACCAGTCTTTACCTTTTCCTTTTCTTTCTTGGTATCTTGAAGTTCTTTAATCTCCCTCAATTGCTGTAGAATTTCTTTGGCAATAGACAAACTGGTCTTCATCTCTGCCCTAGCTCTTCCTTGCTTGCTGGCCAAACTTTCCAAACTTTTCCCTTCTCTTTGTATCTGGCAGTTCGGACCAATTTGTTAGGTTTCTAGATAGAAGAAACCAGGAAAACGAATGCAAACTCACTTAATAGACCTTGTATTATTGATTCTAGGGAACAAGTACTGCATGAAGGCATCTAAGGGACAACGTTCCCTTCACACATGATATCAATGATCCTGTCAACAATTCTACAAAACATCCAAAATTCTCCTGCATACAAGAACCCCCCTACTATATAAAAAAAACTCACTCATCCTAACAATCTGACTAACAACTACTTTTTGATATGTTACTTCCTAACATACACATTACATATCCTATAATAATCTGAAAAGGTTTTAGATATATTCTGACAATCTACATGATGCTTCTATTGTAGGTTGGCTATGTGACAACCATATGTTTTTTATGTTTCCTTGTCAGATGCATTATGGTGAGAGCCCCTTTTTATTTGTAATTCTTAGTTATTTTTGTTTGCTTGCTTTCGAAGTTGAGTTTGATTATATTTTGTTGTTTCAGATGTGCTTTAATGCATTTAATAAAGATGCGAACCTTGATGTCCTTGATCACCCAATTCTAAACTTCATATATTACCTGGTAAGTTATTCGTGTTCTTTACTTCTTTTATTGTGGTATGTATGTCACCATACTCCTTACCGTTTCTTTTTTAATTGGTAAGGAAGACAGGAGGGAAATATAGGTGGGCAAATGGTGTTTGAGGTGATTGATTGAACCCCAACTTTGAACATCATCTCCTCCCCTTCCTCCTACATAGATGCCACTTGGCTCCGAGGCCATTGGCTCCTTACTGTTTCTAATTATTATATTAGTGCTTATATACCATTTATCATTGTTTTAGTTGTCTCGTTTATACTCTTGGGGTTTCCTTTTCTTTAAGCTGTGTGATGCAGGCTGAGATATTCTGTGCCTATATTTTTTCAAACCTGAACTGCTAGAAGAACCCTTCTCTACTTACATTCTACTCATTCTGCTACTCGTAGAAAATGTCTCTCTCCCGCAATACCTCTTACTGTTTTCCTATTTTTTGTTGCAGTTGGTGGAAATAGTGCCTTCTTCTTTGGTCCTTTTCATCTTGAGGAAGCTTCCACCAAAGCGTGGTATAACGCAATATCACCCAATTCGCTGAAGAGGGCATTATAATTCACTATTTTATTGGATGATTATAAAAGTCCTAGGTAATTTTTTAGATAGAGACAAGTCAGTGTTCAATGTACCGGTGTCAAAGCTTGTATCATGGAACGTGATATATATATATATTGAATGTATTCTCAACCGTATTGATCTGTGTTATCACTTATCTTAGATGTTAAGCTTTGGCTCTAGAACAGTGTGCTTAGTTTTGTGATCCAGCATTTTTATACGATGATAGTTGGGAGAAGATGATAGTGTATAAATAGGTTTTTTAACCGCTACAAGTTCGTAAAATATCTCGTCCCATCCTTGTGTTCTGTCGTATTTATTAAGTTGCTACATATCATACTTTGAAATCACCTTGTTTGAATACTACGATTACAATTACTCAAGATAAAAACGAAAAGACAAAGTAAGCTTACCTGTTCAGTACTTGCTTTCTACGTATTATTGGATTTGAAGATCGAAGAATGCACAGCTGGGTCACTTAGTGTTTGATGAAGTGATTAGTTTAAACCCTCTTGCTTGATTCCGGAATTTGCTTCTTCATAACCAACGATTCCCATAGAGCTTCTTCAAGTGATATTATGATGAGCTACCCGTCACTTAGTGTTTGAATGTTTGGTTTGACTTACCTTCGATGAGAAGTGATAGTTTTGAATTGTTATTCAACAAGGCCCTAAAAATAAACATCAATAAATGTTTTGAGGGAAATACAATAAGAGAAAATAATAATTATGTCTATCCAATCCCTCCTGTACTTTTTTTTTTTTTGTAAATGAGACGTTTACGATTTAAATCTTTCTAATGCCAAATAAGAAATAATGTAAATAAGCTGCACCTGGGATGCAACATTGTTTCATGTCATTGTCTATGCAGAAGTTAATCGCAAAATAAATTATTTTAACAGAGTTGAAACGTCATTGAATTATATTTTAGTTTGTCCAATTGTAATTACTATACTGAATTGACATATTCACATATGGTAAAAAAAATAATTTCAAAATGTGTCAGTTGATTAACCGTTTTTTACAAGATTAAATAAAAATAATACAACAAATAAAAGTCTATTGAGTACCTTTAAGTTTATTATAATTACATTTAATTGAACTGTTCTTATGTTCCATTAATATTATTTAATTTATTAATACATATGAAGAGAAAACGATAACATTAAAGAAAAAAATCTTCTCTTAAACCAGTCGGATTTCCTTTTTCTTCATTCTTAGAACAAAAAGAATATTAGCTATTATATTTATATTTGAAATTTATTAAATATAAATGAATAAATAAGTGACCATTCATAAAGACACTGATGTCATTCTCTGCTGCACAAAATAGTTCAATATGGGTATGGCTAGGAAAGATTGACGTGGCATTAAGAATCGGAAATGAAACATTTTCGGTTGTTCCGCACCACACGTTTTTACTTTGTGGCTAACTTGCTCCACATGTTTGAAGATATATCTATTCAGATAATGCCACAACATCTATGTAAGGTACTCATAACTCAACCACCATCCTCAACCAAAGTGTTCGATCGCTTCCAACATGGCCATTTCCTGTTCTGCAGAATGGTCTCTTGCTTGCACAAATTGTTCCAGAACAACCCATCACCTGCATGCAGTGATCCCCACGTGCCACTTCCCTTCCTGGTGCACTGTCTCACCTTCTCACCCACGCTTCTTCCATGTCAATTTCTCAGCTTCTCCCACACCCATTTTGGAAGAAGAACCTTCCAACACCCCCATCATCCATTTAGATGTTAACTTTGCTGATGTTCAACAATATTCCAAGCCAGAAGCTGAGAACTTGAACGAGTTTTTATGTGGGTTGTTTGAGGATCCAAAAACAAGGGAACTTGCGTTTGACTACTACCAAAGGTTGAAAGAGAGGCCAGAGTTTAGGCCTAACAAATCAACACTAAGGTATGTGATCAGGTACTTGATGAGTTTGAAGGAATGGGATTTGATTTTATCAGTTTCAGAAGACTTTCAGGTTTACCATGCGTTGCCTGATAGGGCTACTTGCTCTAGCTTGATTAAATTTTGCATTAAGCGTAGGAAATTCAGAATTGCTGATGTTCTGCTCGATGTTTTTAATTCTGATAGTAAGGTTGCTTTCTTAGCTTGTAGTTCTGCCATGGAAAGTTATAATAAGCTGCATATGTTTAGGAATACTGTTTTGGTCTATGAACGAATGAAATCCACTGGTATTCTTCTGGATTCTGTAGGTTATTTACACATTATGGAAGCTTACTCTAAACTTAATGAATGTGACAAAGTGGTTCAGTTGTTTCATGAATTTAAAAGTAGGAACTTAAGAACTTCAGCCAGATATTTATCTCAAATTTATGGGATTCTATGCGAGTCATTGGGGAAGTCTGGAAGGGCTTTTGAAGCACTTAATTACTTCAGAGAGATGAATCAGAAGGGGACTTCTGGATGCTCAATTTATTCCACCTTGATATACTCTTTTGCGAGTTTACGCAAGGTTGATTTGGCTGAGGAACTTTTCAGAGAAGCTAAAAGCAAAACAGTGATAAAGGACCCTGAGGTCTATTTAAGGCTTATGCTTATGTACATAGATGAAGGTTTGTTGGAGAAGACTTTGGAGATTGTGAAGGCAATGGATGATGCAGATGTGAAGGTTTCTGATTCTATAATATGTACTATTGTCAATGGCTTTAGCAAGAAAAGAGGGTTTTCAGCTGCAGTTAAGGTTTTTGAGGATCTAGTTTCGAAGGGCTATGAACCAGGTCAAGTCACCTATGCTTCAGTTATAAACGCATATTGGCGTCTTGGACAATGCAGCAAAGCAGAAGAGGTGTTTGAAGAGATGGAGAAAAAGGGGTTTGACAAATGTGTTTATGCTTATGCTAGTATGATTGTGATGTATGGGAGAACTGGGAAGGTGAGAACTGCAACAAGGTTGGTAGCTAAGATGAAAGAAAGAGGGTGCAAACCAAATGTGTGGATCTATAACTCATTGATAGACATGCATGGGAGGGAGAAGAATTTGAAGCAGCTTGAGAAGCTGTGGAGAGAGATGAAGAGAAGAAAGGTAGCACCAGATAAGGTGACTTACACTACCATCATCAGTGCTTATAACAAGGCAGGAGAGTTTGAAAGTTGTGTGAAACTGTTTGATGAGTACAGAATCAATGGTGGCCTTATTGATAGGGCCATGGCAGGTATAATGGTTGGTGTGTACACTAAAGTTGGTCAGGTTGATGATCTGGTGAAACTCTTGCAGGACATGAAAACAGAAGGGACAAGACTAGATCAGAGGCTGTATCAGTCTGCTTGGAATGCTTTTAAGGATGCTGGGTTGCAACTGCAGGCAAAATGGATGAAAGAGAGCTTCCTTGTGGCATAGTCTTCTTTATATTTGTCCAACATTTGGCCAAATCTCAAGCAGAAATATGTGAAACCGGTTAGTAGTGTGATGCTTAATTGCTTTCTCTGTTACTCCAAATATTGCAGTATGTATATTTATACACCATGTATAGGTTTCTTGCTTGTACAATTATTTATTAGCCCTTTTCTGTTATATCCTTGCAAACTCATATTGTGATCTAGTAACAAGATCCAACTGCATAGGTTGCTGTAAAGTATTTTTTGTAACCAAACATCAACATAACTAAGCAGGAAATCCATTTTATCTTCAAACTTTCCTGGATTATGGGTCTTCTACTTTATGTTGTGGTCAACTTTTTTTCATCTTTATATTCTATGCGTGACATGTTGGAAGCTAATGTCGATTAGAAATAAGAATAATTTAAAATGAGTTAGTCTTAAAATTTATTTCTTAATAAATCTAAACTCATACTTTGAATTCATTTGGATTCCTAAAAGTTATTTATATATAGCAGTCCATCATGAAAACATCCTTTTCGGTGCTATTTCTCACTCCATTGGTGTAGACACACTTGTTTTGGCCTTTAGGTTTTTTATATGATATGAAAATATCCTCACAAGAATGTGTTCATGTTGATCATGATACAAAACAAGAACATTATTTCATTTTAATCATGGTCGATATTTTCAGTTATAGTTATTAAAATTAGCTTTGATTTGATCTATCAGACTATTAATATGCTATCCTAAAAAGGATTGAGTCCAACTTTAGTTAAGGTTAAACAGACTAAACTGGTGTAGTCACTAAATTTTTCAGATGACTACTTGTACTATTTAATTTTATATGTTCTCATTAAAATTATATAACTTTAGGAAAATAATAAGTAGTTCAATAGACCTTATCCTATGAGTTAATTGAGTTAGGTTAGACAAAGAAACATATAACTCATGAAAAATTGACTGAAGTCAATCCATTTGACCAATTTATTGATGAGTTAATTGAGTTAGGTTAGGACAAAGAAACATATAACTCATGGAAAAATTGACTGAAAAGTCAATCCATTTGACCAATTTATTACGATGAAAAATGGAATCATTATTTTGTAGAAATTATTTTTGTAAGAGTAATCAAATTATGCCTATATGTTGTAGGAACCTAATCAACTACGTCAACGAAAAATATTAGTAAAACTGGTCTTACTGTTTGTTTCCATTTTGACTATGAAACCAGTTTGGAGTTGAATTAGTTTGATAAAAATTGAAAAAGAAAAATAGTATAGAAAAAAATTGAAAAAAATCATAATAGATAAAAATTGGAAAAATCAGTCCAAAGCTAAAAGTTTGAATTTTTTTTAAATAATTATTTAGATGTTACTTTGATTTTTCTTGTAAAGAGAGAGATAATTGAAAAAAAAATGGAAGTACAAAAATAAAATAGAGGGAAAGATTAATGTTAAGAAAAAAAGAATCATAGAAATGTCAACGAGGGATTAAAAAAATCATCATGAGTATGAGCATCTTTTATCCTTGAGAATTATTTTATCAATAAATAAGATGAACATAAAATAAAAAAATATCACAATAGTCATTTAATGACAATAAGAGAATAATACATGTGAAAATGTTTTATAAGTACATTTAGACACTTAAAAAAAAGTTTAATTCAAAGCTCATAACACTTTTATATATAAAAAAATCAAACAAGAAAAATAAAATACAAGTTTAAAGTGTTTTAACTTGGAACAACTAAAACTATGAATTTTCAATAAATAGTTAGTAACATCACT